CCACTGAAGACACCGCAGCTTGATTCACCATCCACAGGTACAAACACAGGCCGATGCGCCGGTTGTGGGGGCGCTTGGATCGCTTCACCTGGGGGGCAGGTACAAAATCCATGGCAAGCTAAATCCTGTTTGCCCTGTTCGCTTCATATCTCTCGGAATCTCTCGGACCATGGTTTCAGAGTAGATAACTTTGTCATACTCCTGCTTTTGCTCCTTGGTCACGCAGAATCTGTTCAGAGGTGAACCCCCGAACACCTGGAGGGAGAAAAGAACAGGTCATGCTCATGGCTATAGACAGTTCCTGGACTCCTGGACTCCCCAAATCCAAGTACTCCCCCTTCAGAAAGCTGCCCGTTCCAACCCCCCCCCCCGCCGCCGGCCCTTCGCCTCCCCAGGTTCTGACCACGAGATCTCCACGTCCCCAGAGCGAGGCGACGGTGACGGGACTGGGTCAAACGGATGAGCCGAAGGTGTGGATGGATGTTTAAAAAACTACCCCAAAACACACAAAACACGAGGGTGTTGTAATCAAGAGTTTATAGTCAAGAATCTATGTATGTCTACCTTATGTGCTTGAAACAACTACCAAGTGACAGGATCCAAACCATTGGATCCTGTCAACCATCGATATGCCGTGGCGAAAGCTCTCAAGTGAATCTCCTGACGGAAACACAATCACCCGTGACAAAGATACAGACTCAGACATGTGAAAGACAGGCCTTTTGAGATGCGGAAGCGCCAAACGCTCCCCTCAAGAAAAGGACAGCGGGCTCTTGCCTTTTTGACTTTTGAGGAGTGCTTCCTCATGTTCAGGCAACATTTCTGGGTGGTGGTTTCAGATATGGTTATGTTCAACCGTTCAACCTTGACCTGGGATGACTGAACCTTTCGTGGCTTCAACGCACGAGTTAGAGCAAACAGCACTGTTTTGAACTCGTGGGTTGAAACCACCAACCAGGTCTTGGTTTCCACGTTCCTTGTGCTGAGCCTTAAACTCGTGCACGACGCCTTTGAGCTGCAAGGGCAAAGTGGCCATGGTGGAGCAAACCCTGGCAGATGCTTGGCAGACGTGACGATGTAACTCACTTATATATGTGCCCTTGTTTCTGGTGATGTGTTGCTTGAGTGAAAGCAGGAGCATCAACAAGTCATGCATTGATGTCAAGGGGAACTCATAGTGTTGAATGAATGGCTGTCAATCTGTTAGCCAGTGGCTTCAATTGTGTCCTCACAGTTTGTATCAGTAATGCCGGTGGCATCAAAGATGGAGTGAGGCTGTAATTAGTCTTGAGTTTGTAAGAAGAAATCCCACTGGAGGCTGACCTGTATCGCAAGTGTCGCTGACACCCTCGTCAACATTTGTCGTCATGTCCACTATGGCCAGATAGGGAGTCCAAGATGAAAGGGACGGTTGATGAGCAATCTCCTTCACCCCCCAAGACATGTGAGATCTTTCGCCTCATTGGTATGTACATGTAGATATACTATCAATAGGATATGTCATCTCAGCTGGTGAAGGATTTTGTCAATCAACTGGATGTGGCAAATCTAGAGTTTGGAAGAAAAACACCGCTGGAGCTTGTCTCAACCTCAGAGACACGCCAGAGACACTCGTTGTTGTTGCCTACATTTGTAGGGGCTTGGGGTGCCCAGTGCTACAGAACACCATCCAAAGTGTGAATCCGCCCAAAACCAGGCAAGAGTAGAGATTGGTATATGTACATAGACTTGCTGGATTGTTTATTCAGAGTTAGACATTTGGAGATCAGATCCCTTTCTCAGATGAAATCCCTCGTTCTCCGAAGGATCAACCTGGTCTCAGCAGGGGCATGCTATCCCACGTGCCTTTCAGATCCGGCTCCCCCCGAAAAATAACTACTGTATTTGTGAGTGAAACCAAGCACTCCAGTTGACATCCCTGGGAACGGTTGACATCCCTGGGAACGGTTGCTAGACTGCCACTCTGAGGAGTTGGAGAAGGCTCTTGGACTCCAAAGCAGCCCTGGCCATAAGCAGCTGATCTTGGCCACTCGACCACGGACGAAGTTAGCTAAGGTTTTCTTCAAGTTGTTCTGTTCAAAAAAAGTGTTTTTTCTCACAAAACACGTCGGCCGATGATCAACCAAAGTTGGTGAAATCTGAAAACCTCGTCAATGTGCAAAGGGTTTTTGCTTCGGCTCACTTAAGATTGAAATGGACTGAATAGTGATGTTCCTTTCAAGTTTTGATCGACCGTCCTGAAAACATTCCCTGAAAGCTCTTTAAAGAGGATGATGTGTGGACATACCAGACCACTGCTGGCCGTGTCAGCACCAATAGTTGCACTCTTTCGAGCCATGACAGGAGGGTTCCTGCACTATTCGCAAGTACAGTTGAGGGCAGAGAATCCTTTAAAAGCAGAGATGCCTTGGATCGTTTGGATGCTTTAAAGGGTGGTTTCCCCATGTTTCACCCTTTAGGACCAAACGACACAAACCAAACCAAACGACACAAAACTACCAAAACCGCGTGTTGTTTTTTATCAATCAATATGAATGGTTGGTTGGGTAGGGACATATTGAGATGTGAAACATTTTCTGTGTGGAATCGTCCTGTATATTTTTTTCTACATGTTGGGTTCCAGTTGGATTTACTTCTGCCGACCGATGGTGTGGGGTGATGTTGGCCGCGTGTTTCGGCCCTCCGTGATGTTGGCCACGTGGATGGCATGGCCCGTTGGATATCCCTGTTCCGAAGACCAAACAGGTGGTGATGTCCACTTCCAGAATAGCCTGGTGATGTGTGATATGTTCTTCTCCAGAAGTCTCGTACTTTTTTCTGAGGAATCCTGAGATGAAGGAATTGGCCAAGTGAGCCGCGCACGTTGAGAGGGGGAAGCCAGGAAAGCCGGGGTGATGTTCCACGTTTTTCGACATCTAAAGGCTTTTACCTTTTCGACATCTAAACACAGAAGCGGACACGCACATGGCTGACCAGGACCAGAACAGCGGATTGTGGTGAGGGTAAGAGCGCGGACATTTCTCAAAAGGGCTGCATGGAATTCTCAAAGAGCTGTTTCGGTTGTCATCCGGCTTCCTCCTCCCATGTCGAAGAAGATGTGGGTCAAACTCCCGATGCGTCGGGGCCATGGCAAGCAGCCACTTAAACCCCCCACTGGCGCAATGTCCATTGAGAACATGTCACGTTGGAAACCATGTCTCAGAATTTTGCACGGTGGACAAATCTGACATGGAGCAACCGGCAATGCAGAGTGGCGCCAGACATGTATCCCTAGGGCTCAAAAGTGGGCTCAAAGTACATCCTCAGAAGGTATTTAGACCGTCCAAACCCACGCCAAACACTTTCTCAGAAGGTATACTTGGAGCCAGTCTTGGAGCCCTAGGGTGCAATACCAGTTGCTGATAGTTGGTGTGTCTCGGAATGTTCAGGAGCCCCAAACCATTGAGCTTACTGGTTCCCTCCCCTTTGTGCGAGCTGCCATGGTGCACATTGAGGGTCTGACCCACGCGAGTGCAACAAAAATTTGGATCACTTGGATCAGGACCTAGAGATGGAGGTTTTGAGCTCCAAAGCATTGGGATTCATCGAATCAACATGGTTCCAACATGTTCCAACCAGGTGGTTGGCTTTTAAAGACCTTCAAGGGATGGGTTTCTTGATGTTTCAATAGTCAGATGGTTGGTTCTTAGATAGGCACTCCATGTCATGTGGATTTAGCTAGGGGGATTGAGCGATGTGAACTTTCCAGGCAACTACGAAGCAAGTATTCTGCATCACCGCCTTCGTTGGCTTCAGAGGTTTCAGGCGTACTCCCATTCAAAAAGAGCCACATGTTGCACTGACATGACTAACATGATAGAGCTTTTCAGTTGGCCACCCTGTTCCAAGTGGAGGTCCAGGTGCCGGACTCGCTCCCGGCACAAAACGATGGTTTTTCCTCGTTCGTGTCGTTCCTCGCTTTTTTGGAGTTGGGTGGATGGTCCCGGAGGAGATGGATCCATGTATAATGGCGGGGCTTAAGGTGTTTACCTAGCTGTATTGGCTGTATCAAAGATTTATATAGCGACCGGGGCGTATCATGTATAATTGGCTGGCTTTATGATCATGTAGAATGGCTGTGTCACATATAAGGAGCAGTTTGTTGTGACATCAACTGTGCCTCGCGTGTACCCTGGCTAGAAGATTTCATCATGGAGGGCTTTTCTTGAGGATGCAATTGTTGCTTTGGTTGCAGTTAGAGTCGTCCCAGATACTACAGTAAGTAGATAGACATGGTTTCCAGTACACTTCTGCAGTGTGTGTGTGTGTGTTTATCTTTTTCGATGGGGTCACAGTACATAGAGATCTTGGCGGAGATTTGTTTGCAGGCTTGCCTGGAAGGATACAGGCCTCATCCCAGCACGAGGTACGACCTCTCCCAAAAAGAAATTAGCGGGAACAGGCGTTCAGAGCGCTTCCCGACACAGTCATGCATGTGTGGAGAGTTTTTGCTTTTGAAGCTCAAGGTGAACTGACTTGGCTCGAAGCATGGGAGAGAAGGGTGAACTCACTTGGCCATTCAATACACGTCATAGCTCATTCCGGCCAATCATCGTCAAATGAAGCGCCATCAATTCACCGGACCGGGGGGAAACATAGACCAACTGCCGACGAAAAGCAGCGTATACCTGGCTCCAGTAAGTCATCGTTTTGTTTGGACGTTGGGCAGTCACCGGAACTTCACAAGAGGGATGTGGTGACCCCACTGGTACGAGTCATTCGGAAGTCGGCGAAACACTCGGGTTTGAAGCAAAACACGTGGACGAAGCTTGAGGGTGAGCCCGTTCCCAGGCAACACAAAAACGGAATCATGTGTGAGTTACATGTTGTCACGGGTTCCGTTGTCTGAGAAAAATCAAGACAGTATCTAGCTAAGCTAGTACCACCATGTCGACCACGTCGATGGCTTTGGCACGGCGACAGAGCGCCATCCCAAGATGCCCAGCACCACGACGAAGCCGGCGAAGCCAAGCTAAAGCGAAGCCCTTGTGTGATCGGTGCCATGGCCGAAGCCTTCAAGATACCTCCAGGAGAGAGGGGGGGAGCTGCGGAAAATCGGAGGTCAGGAGGGTGGAAAATGGGAGGTTGCCCATGAGAGCAGGTAGAAGCATGGTGGTTTTAAAGTTACTTCTTTCAAAGTATCGAATTCAATTTCAAGGTAGGGATGGGGTGTTCATCGGTCAAGACTGGAGTACTCACAAGTGGTTAGTGGGATAAACAGCCCCTGTGAACTGAACTTGGAGAATGTTGGTAAGGATACTCTCCCGAAAACCAACCTGGACCCTGAAAATGGACCTTTCCTTTACAAAAGAGTGGTTTTCAGGTTTTCAGGGTCCATGTTAGTTTTCCACGGGGTAAGAGAGCTGGGAGTATCAGGAGTCTTCATATTTTTGGACCAGCTGGGTTTTCGCTTTGTCCTACTTTATCGAAGCGACTGCTGGTAGATCAGTAGGAGCCAGGTATAGCTCTGAGACCAACCAACCAGATTGCCCATGACCCTGTCTTGTGGAGAAAACATGCAGGAGAGGCATTCTCGGGCAAATGACACCTGCCCGCACTGACTGAAATGAGGAGCAGGGGGCTATGTGACATCTGCGCCGACTTTGCTGCAGGCCAGGCCCATGACAGAGAGACACCATTGTGAAAGTAGCAGGACTTGACTAGAATCCAATCTCCTTAAATTTAATAGATCTTTTTAAGCAATTATGTCACATCTTCGAAGAGTTGCAAGCAACGTCGCGTCAATTTCAAGCTTAGTTTCAAGCTTATGTCACAAGTTGGGGTGACTGCTCGAAGATCAACCCTGACCATTTGGTTGAAACCGAGAGTTTTGATGACACATCTGGAGAGTCATGTAGAACGCAGAGCTTGAAGTTCCTCCCCAATTGTCGATGCATGTGCTTGTCACTTTCCGGTACCAGACCCCCCGTGGTTTTTGGTTGCTCATCGCCTCATCGACTCTGTCCACACAGCACGCTCCACGGCTCCTCGGTTCCTCGACCAGCCCAGGCCCAGCCTCAGCGAGATCTCACCCAACTTCTGACCGAGGTCGCGTGAGTTTGGTCTCGGTGGTTTCTTCGATCGGTCGCGGCGTTGGAAGAAGCACCGATGCTTGGTGGATCGAAAAAATGATAGCCAAGAAACACTGGCAGAGAGGAAACCATGGTAAGTGACCCTGCATGTGGAATTCCCAGAGTTACACGCACCGGAAAAAAGAACCAGAACCTGTCTCAGGTGGCTCGGCAAAGAGAGGAGGCTGCACAACTACGACTGAGAGTGATGCAGGCCAGGGTATTTCATAGAGTTTAAGCTGACTGGCCCAACCCACGGTGCTTGAAGCCAACATGTTCTCCATGCTTGAAGCATCCCTCAAAGAATCATCGAAGCTGACCAGGACCCCCCGTTGTAGAGGAAACTGCTCGGACCCAGGGGCCTTTCGCCTGTTCCGTAACCATGTTTGGTCTTCGGGGAAGGACAACTCACCCAACTGTTGTTTGTGGGAGTTGTCTAGCTTGGCAAACCCTTCCAAGGGCGCCCAGGCTGGGCCCGCAGGGTGCGGGGCGGGGGGCGGCGCACCTCGACCATGAAACACGCCGAGGCACCTCCGAAGCCCAAGCAGGACTACGGGTTCGCTGTGAAGAAGACGAAGGTCCTATGAGGTCGTAGGTTCGTAGGGTTCGGAAAGTCACTTTTTGCAGACACCTGCTGGAAGTGCATCGAAACACCACCATGCTGACAATTGTCTACCTTCAAGTTCCTCAATGAAGCCTTTTGTTGACCCGGAACTATCCTAGCTGAAGTTGGCGGGTTGAACACCTTTTTTTGCATGGTTAAGTTCAGGTCCGGATTCTTCCAAGACATCACTGCTTCACTGCGCCCTCGTCGTCATGTTTGCAAACATCCACGGAGCAGCGCTTGAGGGATGTGCAAACTTCGAACGACATCGACAGATGGAATAGAAAAATTATAGAGGATGTCTTTTCAATTTATATACAACTGTAGGGGAATTTGGTGGAATTGTGGCTGAACGATCATGATGCTACAATGCCCCACCTTGTGATAAAGCCCTGATCAGCAAATCCATTCGATCCGCTTGTCTCTGATGAGCATCATCCAGCCATCCGCCGGGACCGCCGCGCCCACCGGCGAGGACGATCACCTCTTCCACTGGCCACGAGGACCCACCAAGCCACCGGACACCGCCGGGGAGCCGAAGGATTTTCCGCCAGACGTCAACGGGGGTGTCCGGAAGACGCCGGCGAAGAGGAAGGGAGGAGGACCCATTTCCGTCTGCGACGTTGCACCGCACCGGTGGTGTTTTTTGTTGTTTTTTTGTGTGGGACTTCCTTTCCAACTAAATGCTTTGAAGATCTTTGAAGCAAGTTGAAGAGAGATGTCTTCGAACCTATGAATTGATGGGCCCTGTAAGTGGAATGCGATGGTACCGCACGCTCGTTTTCATCCTGCGTCGACTTGGTCGATCCTTCCTTCGGAGTGGGGGTGCGCACTGCTTCGACATGACTCAGGGAACCTCTGGTGCACCGGAGGGGCTCGCTGAGGCGTGTTGGTTATGGAGGCAAAAACAAAGGAGGGTTGGAAGGAGGGGTGGACGGTTGTTCAAGAGAATGCATCAATCATCAGATACAAAGATATACAAAGTAATAAATTAACTAAATAATATTTATACTTGTCTCTCGATCTATATAGTTTGTTATGTCATTGTACATCCTAGGTTATCCAAGACGATCAGATTGCTTGGGATGTTTCTGTTTGATGAATCCAAGCTTGCCACCAGAGGACTGCCTGTTTACTGAAAGACATGGATTGCACCTATATCATCTATATCATGTGGCTTTGTGTTTGAAGACAGAGCACTTGGAGGGTCTGAGGCTGGAGCAGACATTCGAGGGTCTCCCTGAAATCATCATGGTCATCCTTTCGAGGCCATGCCGTTCACGTAACCATGATTATAGAAAGGGATAATACTACGTTGAAGAATTCGATGTGCAGCAGCCCTGATGATGATGATGATGATGATGATGATGATGATGGGATTCAGACGATGTATTTCCTTCATACCAGCACAAGCTAGCGATTGGATCTCTCGCGTGCCGGCAGCTGAGAGGCCCGTGCCAAGGTGGGCAAGACCGAATTGAAATTGCCGGAGGCAGAGCTGGCGGGGCTGGGAGCCTTTGGGAAGTCCTGGACTGCTGGGACGACTTCGTCTTTGGATGTGCATCCAGTAAAGCAAAGCATGTCAAAAACATGGTGCTCCAAAGATCGTGAGTGGCGTTGATGATGTTGGATGATGCTCTTTGGCGTGTGTTTTCTTACCCCCTTGAGGACTCATATCTGGAAGAGAATGGTGTGTCTATTGGAGGGAGAGTTGAGGTTTGCGAGAGCTTGTTGAACCATGTTAAACCCAGAAAACAGCAGAACACAATCAATCAGGTGTTTGTTGGTGTTCATGCATGGACGCTCCATGTTCGGGGTGTTGTGAATTATTTGTTCGACTTGTTGAAAAAAACCAATGCGTGGGATGCCAACACATGCTACTAGCAGTAATGATCCCATGATGATATCACCTTTCCAATGCCTTGGGGGAATTGGATCGCCAGGGGGCCCCCTTTGGGCCCAGGGTTCTCATGTTGCCCAGCGGAGTGGCCTGGAAGCCCCAAGCTCCTTGCGGAAAGCTTCACGGAAGGCCATGAAACGTCAATATAATCAATGACCTACACCTATGATCATGTACAAAAGACTCAACCATCTAAACTATATCAAACTCCTGGTCAAAATGATTTTGCACAATAGAAACCATCTATGAAATGACCCCAACTCCTGGTCGCGCGGGACTACCGATGTGATGTTCCTCGCTTGAAGACTCGAAAGACGAGGACAGGTGTTCCTCCACGATGCTGACATGTTGGAGGACATGTGTTCACTGCTTTGTCACTGGTTTGACAAATAACATAACTATATACTAACTATACTATACGAATGGGAACTCAGAACCAACCTATCAGTTCACAAACATTGGGAACTCAGAACTCTGTTTGTTGTTTGCTGCTTTTTCACTCAGCTGACTCCAACTCGCCAGGGGGTTGACCGCTCCAGCACCAATGGGCCGGGAGCCCCGGGAGCCCATTAGCTCATTGGGCGCCGAAGAGGAACGGAAGAAATCCATGGCGAACGCAGCGAGTGCATCCGATGATTTGGGGTCTTGGCCATCAGTTTTTCGGGATATAATATATATATATATATATGGGATAATAGGATATAATAGGTATAGGTTGTGCAATTTGGCACATGGAAGAGGGCCCGTGGCACCTTTCCCTTCTCCTCTTTTGGGTGTGGTTGGCGGTGAGCTTGCGCTTCCTGTTCCTTCAGCTACTGGTGCTTGGGCAACAGCCTCTTGGCACGTCGCACATCGGGTTCCATGACTCGAATCTGGTGTTTGGTTTGGCGCGTGCTTTCCTCTAGTAGCGCAGTGGAGTGTACCGCAAGCTGCTTGAGATCTATCAGTTACTTCCATGTCTTCCATATCTTGCATGCACACAAAGATGTCACGTTCATGTTGCTGTATTGTATATGATGGTTGTTGATGTTGCATGTTCCCTGCTCTACCATCTCTACCCAGGCCCAGAGCATCATTTATATGCTTTCAGATGTGGAGCCCAATCCTAGACAACCGTCGAGATGTGCTAATCCACGTCCATTTAGGGCTTGTAGATAGACCACTAGGCCTCTAGGGGTTGTAGGTAGACCAAGTGGTACAAAGGGCCATACGTTCGGCCCTTTGTTCCCACCTAGGAGTCATGATGGCCTCGAAGTGTTGCAGTCCAGTCCGCAGTTTCTGCACCCATCCCCCTCCGTACCACGCACTGGCCGGGCAGAACACGTCCCCCGCAGCGCCTCAGGAAGGCACGTCCCAAAGCCACGCCCAAAACGGGCCGGAGGCGAGCGACGATGGTGGATTTTCATATGTTTTCATTGCGCGTTCGTTCTTTTTTCTACTAGAAGTGCAGGTTCTGATGGTACAAGAACAGTCTTCAAGATATAGTAGTCACGATCGAAACCAACTACCAGGCGCTTCTTTGGTGCAACAATCTGCGCTTTTCTGAGCACTCTTCGGCGTCGCGAGGCCAAGCCCCAAGCGACCTGCGCGGGGCACACGGCCTGAGTTGCTTGGAACAGAAGGATCGCCCTATAGGGATCCACATGCCCTCTGAGAAGGTGATATGTATAGCCACTGCTATGTAAATATAGCCTTGGAGGGTTCAGTCGTACCTTTTTCAGAAGCTACGACTGGATCTGTAGGGATGGTTTCTTCCAGCCGCATCAGAGGCTCCTCACCGGCCAGCATGATCCGATGTCCGATGTCCAGGGAGGCCGGTCGAGAGACAAACATGGGTATGTTCTGTCTACCTGGACCCTCGACCCTCGGGGTGTCCTGGCCGGACTAGCCCACACTACCATACACTACCTATAGGCTTCCAGACAGGGCATCCCGACTGGAGGGTCCTGGTAGTTGTGTTCTTTTTTTGTTGCCTTTGCAACTGACTGCATTCATCAACTTGGGGTGAATGACCAGCCTGTGCCTGCCCCTACGTGCTCCAAGAAGGGCTCCCAATCAAAGAGATTCCAGGATTCAATTCATGAAATGTGCTCAAAAGGCTCCAATAAGTCCGTCATGTCTCTCATCTGGCCCCTGAACATCTCTCCCCCAAATCCACCTTACAGAACTAACTATTCCAGAACACTGTAAGATGGCGTCAAGCCATGTCAAGCAGATGAATTCGTGTTTTTCACCCAAGTCCTTCGCACCGTACCGTCCTTTCCGAACGCCCCGCCGGTGGTCGCGTTCGCACCGGTCGCACGCGCACCTTCGCGCCCGAGGGACGAGCGCTGGAGCGCGCCGCGGCGCTCGCGGCCCGTGTCCCCCAGCTCACCGGGAAGGACCGGTCGTGTCGCGAAGCTGCGGCGATCGCAGCGGGCGGCGGTGTGTGGGAAAGAAACCGGAGAAAGGGTGAGAAACGGTTCGAGTTTAGCGCCCTGAAGATAGTGAAGCGGATGGTGTTTTCCAGGGTTTGATGATAAAATATGGAATCAGTGGCTGGATTTGATGATTTGACCAGAAATGGCTTGGATCTAAGAGGATTGACTAGATGTTTGGTTGGAATGCATCAACAAAATCTTGGTTTCATGGTGCCTGGATGTTGAAGGATCTTCTCAAGGAAGCAGGAAGTCCATCTCTTCTTGGACAATGGTTTTTGTGGATGCGATGTGTCAACCTATCACTGACTTGGACGAGGACAATGGCTACCTCTCTTCTTTAAAAGGCGTGGTGCTCGGTTGTGCTCCCAGGTCAGAGCCTTACATTTTTGGTGCGTGCCTGAAATGGCCTCCAAAAGGAGTATCCACAAGGGCCTCCACCTTACACATGGACTCGATCTGCTACTTTGGGCCTCTCCGACTCGGACGAATGTATAGAATACATGTACCTACCCATCTGGGGATCACATGGGACCTTTATATTCACCCCATAGGAAACACCTGTTCACCACCCGTGGACCTCAGGATCTCTCGGACGCAGGCCACGTCGCCTGGCCCCAGGAGTTCCCAGTCGCCTCACCCTGCGCCACGGCTTTGCATCAGCGTGCCAGAACACAGGCGCGATAGGTTGGAGCTTCGGTCGGGTTTCGCTTGTGGAAAACGACCGCCAGGCAAGGAGTGACGCTACTGAAAGGCGAAAGCTGTAGTATAGGGCCAGAAACATGTGGAAAGGCACCAAGATGGTTTCGTTTCTTTCCTGCGTTGTTTTCGTTTCCGGCAAAGGATGAGCGTGTAGCTTCTGTGAAGTCTTCGTTTGTTTTGCCCTTTCAGTCAGCTACTCATATCACCCTTGCTTGAACATGATTTTGTGTCAGGGGTCAACTATCACAACTCTACAACGTTGTGGATGTGACAATGTGCATGTTTAACATCTGGATGAAACACCTGTGCAAGATGAACATGTCCTTTGCCAATTCTCATGTGTTTTTCTTCAGGAGGGCGGGTATTCTGGTATTGCACGTTGAGGATTACCTTCCTGTTTCGGACTATCGCAGGCTCAGACCACCCGAGCCGCAGTTCCTCTTCAGTTTGCCCTTGCGGGTACACTCAGGTGGGGATGGGTGGAATGCTTGGGGCACGTCATGATGTTGGGAAATGAGATAAATCCACTTGACTTGGAGATGGTTCCAGTTGTCTTGGGCAGAAGACAAAGGTCTGCCATATGAAAAAGAAAGCAATCCTTTGGGATCTTCCTCCAATAAATTAAACACTTGGGTCGGATCTCCTTGAAAACAATTCGACAAAGTACCATAATATGACCGCTCTGTTTGCATCGATGCTGAGTTCAGGCTTCTTATTGTACATGTGCCACAAGCGCGCAGACATGTGCAGACAGAGTTTGACCACTTCGAATCTTCACACAGGAATTGGGACTTATGCTAAACTAGACAGAGTTTGACCTCCCAGTCTACTAACTTTACCGAAGTTGGGCAAGGGAAAGACTAACATGGAACCTGAAAACCACTGGTTTGTGGAGGAAGCTAGTCTTCCACAAGGTGCTTCTTTTTTTTCAGGTTCCCATGTGGGTCTCTGGTGTATAGGCAGTGTAGGTGTTCATTTTCGCTCGGACGGTTTCGTCCTTTTCGGGTTTGGTCCCAGCTTCGGTTCGTAGGTCGACCCTGGTGTCGAAGGGCCTTCGGGCCGAACGAAGCACCGTCCGCAGGTCCGAAGAAGCTGGTGGACTTGAGCTTCCGTCGTTCAGGCGATCGGAGGGCGCTCGGTTTGGGCCCGAGCGTCATTGCGGCCGGGGCGAAGAGGCCCTTGACGGTGGATGAATAGAGATTAAAAGGACATGACATGTACAAGCAATATGATGAGTAATAGTCATATAGTTATATCATTACTAAGTTAAATAGTGAGAGAGAGTACCTGGTAGTGACGCTCCTCTTCTTTTCCCTAAGCTCGGACATCCGTGGAGCATTCCGTCCGAACCGGATGTCGACCGTCGACCCTTCGACCGATCCACATCGGCTCGAAACGGTACAGGGCGGTGAGGCTCAGGTTGCCTGAGAAAACTGCGTGGTGCAGCGAACAAGATATACAAGGTAAGGGACGTGATGCAAAGATGTGTGTGTGTGTCCACAGTTTGTTGAGGCTCTGCAGTTGTTCTTGCAACTTATGTTTGGCAAACCAACCCGACCTCAGGTTGATGGCAGATGGTTTCAGTGGAAGTAGTCACGTTTGGATGCAAGTAGAGCTCTTGAAAAGCTTGAGTGGGAAGAAGTTCTCAAGTTGGCAGGAGCTCATGTTGCGTGGTATTCTTTGACGCGTTTGGTTTCGCTTGTGCGGGCTTGCAGAAGCCAACATCACATAGACACGGTTGGGAGAAGAAGCATCGTCGCGTACTGCAGGTGCTGCGGGAGACCGCCGTGTTATTCTTTTTGCCGCGGCAAAAGCAACCGAGGGAGCATTCTGCTCAACATCAATCAAACTCAATTAACCAGCACCTTCATGTCGGGGTCACCAGGCTGGAAGCCCCTACACTACCATCCGGGACCTCCATGAAGGTCCACCCCTTTGAAGGTCCAGGAACGAATAGATTACAACTTCTGAAGAGGCTATCAATCACCTGAAACCTTCAAAAAGCGTTCCAGTTGTGTTTCTAAAATCTGATGTTTGGAAACAAGGAGAAGCACAGAGCAACCTCACACTCGGGAACGGTGGGGTTTTTCAGGAGCGGCTTCGGACCCAGCAGGTGGTCGGGGTGACGACTTGTGGTCGACTGGGTGTCACACGAAGTCTCGGTGGAAGAAGTCAGGTGTGGCAAACACTGCTAGCAGTGGGTGCTTTCAGATATTTTTCTATCTTCAACCTCTACTTGGGATGATTGAACCATAACCTTCGGGGAATCAACCCACTGGGCGCCCAAGACTGCAGAAGACCGGGAAGACTGCCCGATTTCGGGAAGACTTCTCCGCTGAGTACCTGAGTCTTTTACGATGTTTGAATCTCACAGTTTCTCTGGTTTGGGCCTGATGCTTCAGCTTCTTTGGTATTGCTGGCTGTCCCTTTGCTGTCCCTGCTCATACTTTTGGCGTTCAACATTTTTGTGGTGAGGTTATCAGGTGTTGATAGTTCCCTGAATGAGAGTGTCACCATCTACTTTCTGTTCCCGAACAGCACGGGGTCTTCCAAGTCGGCTTCTGCATTGTCAACATATGCGATTCCTGCGGGAATTCATGGGCAAACATGGCACAGAAAACACCTCGGAGCCATGTCTCAAAATGCTGCCTCAAGACCGCGTTTTTACGTCACAAAGGCCCTCTCACCAAGCAGAATCCTTCTGCGGATTGGTTCATAAATGAATGCATCGCGAGGAATAATGATTTGACAAGGACCGGGACATAAAGAACTCTGCAAGACATTCAGCACGTCTTCAACATTCAATCAAACAAACACATGCTGAGCAATGAGGCTGATGGCTGTTGCCCTCTATAAACAAGGTCACGCCCGCTGCAACGGCCCCGCGCGATTTGCACGTTTTCACATGCAGCTTCCAGTCGCTTTTCACAACCCCTCTGGCACTTTCTGGCGATGCCTGTTTTTGCTCAGTGTCATTTTGTATGTGTGTTTACAGCATATCATGCCTCTCAATTCACAATTCCATGGTGAATTGACAGTTCGTTCGGGGACCTGGAAGTCAAAAAAACGGATGTTATGTGTTCTGTTGTTTCATTAACATTAACACACTTCCACTCTTTCAGCTTTTCAGGCATGCCACTCCTTCTGTGCCATCTGACCCAACTTCTGCAGTTGGTGCTTTGACGGTGTATTGCAGCGCCACACAAAGCTATACATATATTCTTGGATCTGTGCATTCAACCCGCCATTGGATCGTTTGGATGCCAACTCTCTGGGGATAAACTTCTTCAGGGATGACCAGTTCCGGTCAACAAAAATAACACCTTGTGCCAGACGCAAGAGAATCAACAAAGTCAAGGCGAGTACAGCTTCCTCCATCTTGAGAACTAGAAAACGTTGCTTCAAAAACTATTTGGTGCAAGAGCTTCAAAACAATAAGGTTTGGATAGGCCATCCACATATTGCTGGCCAGAGATGACCCTTTCACAGCGAACGTTAACACACCCCACCCCACCCCACCCTATCCCCAACGTAGTATCAACTTGGTTTGCAAGTGCAAAGGAACGACTCCATCCCCAACGTAGTATCAACTTGGTAGCATCAACTTGGTTTGCAAGTGCAAGCGAACGTTAACACACCCCACCCCACCCCATCCCACCCCATACCCAATGTAGCATCAACTTGGCGAATGGTAAAAACGTGGAAATTCTCCGGGGTCGTTAGGGGGGGCGTGAGCATAAAGAACCAGTTTTGGATCTTTTGGAGTGGGATCCCTTGGCCGAATGTAGATGCTTTTTGGGCAAAGAAGGATCATTGACTGCCCCTAGAGGAGTTTTGGACGTTGCAGTTGCCATGACCGAATTTGCTACTTCAATTCGACGCGCTGCAGCTGCATTTACTCCTGGCTTGTGCATGCTTGTGACAATCCCGGAACTGCCCAGGGCAAGCACTTGTATGTTGTTGCCCCGCTTGCTGATTCATCGATGCATGCTTGTTGATACATGTTGATACAGTTGGAGTACCCCGTACAGACATGACCATAGTCCAGCTCTGCCCTGAGCGGCCCTGTCATGGGACACTCACGATTCGCAGAAACTGTCCTCCGCAGCAGCCCGTCACAGCCCAACTTCACCTGTCGCCTTTGCTGCACTCGCCCCGCTCGGCTCGTCCTTCTGGGTGTTGTCAGGATCCCCTTCTCGGACTGAAGCGATGCCTGACTCACCGAGGAGTGTCCAAAATGGCCGGCGTCCACGGGTGAAAAACGTGCCGACAGCAAGTTTGAGAGCGTTCACTCTGATGTATTACATGATTTGAGGGTCCTCTGTCTTGTTGAGACACCGAATCACTGGAGCTCAACGCCTGGCCATGCATGGCAACTTTGGTTGCGTAACTACGTCCTTTCATGTTTTTGCTGGCTCGCAATTCTGCAGGAGTTTCATGTGGTCTGCGCTAGAGCACGCCAAGACGGAGGCAGGTTTTGATCTCGATCAGTTCCATCCAGTCAGTTTGACAAGTTTGATGTGAATCACACTAGTTTAATGTGTACTGCTTGCCACGGACAACTAATTCACAGGGAAACCAGATCGTAAGGTAACAGTTCGCTGTTTTCAGGCTCATTTGTTGGATGGGCATGTTGTGTCGACCACCTGTTGTTGGTTTGTTTGGTTTGAGCAAGGCCCTGCTAAACCGTTGGAAAGTTCGGGCGTTTATATATACTTTGGGCGGGTGATTCCTCACTTAGGCCCCAAATTGATCCAAAACGGAGGTCCAATTGAACAATCTCAGACTCAACTTGAGAGTGTATTGCCTATAGAGTCAATAAACACCTGGAAACAAGGTCTCTGGAAAATCGACGCATCGATTCAAACCGGTCCGTCACGGGACACGCACGGAACGCAGGTGCCTGCCACACCACAAGATCGGAGTCCACAGCGTTATGCCACAGGCCGAACCGGAGAATGAGAGACTTTGAGCGGAGAGCAGAGATCTTTGTCCACTCAGTTTGGAAGGCGACAACATGTGGTTGATGTAGGATCTTAAATATGGGGGCCGTTGATTAATCAAGATCCTACATGGACATATGTGTTTTCTCGGGGTGTGGTTTCAAAACGAGAAATGACTAGCTGAGAAGAGGTTCGCTTTTATTGCCCCACCGGAAGGTCCAGTGTTTGGCAATGACTGTTGCGCTATTCGTTGGCGTGATTGACCCACATGAGTCTGAGCTTTGGGCACGGTGCAGTCTGACCAAGTAAACCTGGTCTTTCAGTCCTCGAGTCATATCCTTGCCCCAAGCTTCTTGGCGCATTCGACTTAGAAGGGCGGTCCGACACGCCCAAATCACCCGGTCGTCGCGAGTCGCGTCCGTCGTCTCGTCGCGTTGGGAGTGAGTCAGGGAGTCACAACGGGCGGGCGGGCGGAGGCTTTGGGCGTACAACTGGTTTTGTCGTGTTGGTCGTTTTGGACTTGGAGTTTCCTTTCAGTTGAACACTCAGTTATTTGTTGTGTTTTAAACGAAATCCTTTCCTCTGAAGATTGATCCTGGAAGAACACGACAACAAGAGATGGTCATCCAGCGAATTCAATCAGGATGTTTGACTGTTCCATCGTATTGGGAATAGCTATCATGATCCTGTCACTATTTGTCATTCTAAGTATGTGTTGTTTTTACCTACATTGGGGTGGATGTATTGGCAATATTGATATCAACGGAGTGTTTGGGTGAGGGTTTGATGAACCATTTGTTCGAGTCCACGATTGACGACGACGGGACCTAGCAGACCTACACCCACGGCTGTGGTTTGCCCACAACATGGGTCCAGGTAGAAGGCCCTGTGTCAGAAGGTTTTTTGGACCATGTTTGATGGTTGTTGTCCTTGAATTCCAACGTCACTCATCCATGTTCATCCAACAATTCTCCGCATGTTGCATGTCTCGTGCTGTTCGCCCAGGCACATCAGTGCATTCGATGGCCACGCTGAGGCGGGACATAGTCGAAGTGACCATCAAAGGGGCAGGTTCTATGCGGATAGGGAAACGCGGCCCGTGCCCAGCCAAACTGGTAAGAAGGTGCCTGTATTAACGACATATGCTGCGCAGTAGAACATGAAGAACCCAATTTGGGGTAGCGACACGGGACCCTGTTTCACAGGGCAGAACAGAAGCACCCCGATGGTCACCGCTTGGCAAATGATTCTCGATAAACAGGACAGTCAAGTAACGTAGACCAGCTATTTCGGATGTGCTTCTTCAAGTCTTAGTCTCACCAAAGCAACCAAGAGAGGTAGCCAGTGACCTGAAGTGGGACCTTCCTGGGCTACCCAACTGGGATAGTCTATAAGGTCCTTCAACCTCTGAGAAGTCTACATGTGAGGGGTCTTCAGTGGGCTCGCACTGAGCACTGACCGCCTTTCTACTGGTCGAAGGCCGCAAGCACAGCTTCAGCCGAAGCTTCAGCCAGCAGTTCAGCCGGCCACACCAACTCAAGGCTGCGGGGGGGGGGTTGAAGCACTTCAGCTGCAGGCTGGTGTTGAAAGATACTTTGCAAGTTGCTCAATGAGTAAAGAAAGCTCCTTCATCTACCGGATGGCCGGTCCCAAGGCCCGATCCGTTTGTCCAGCCCATCCAGGATTCGAGAACAGATCCGGTCGCACCTTCCGCACCGGGACTCGCACCGGGAAAACCACCTTCCTTCGCCTGAAAAACCACTGATCTGAGTTGCGCGTCTTGTTGGAAAGGTTTTGGAGACGCTTTGACCGTTGAAACAGTCCCCCCTTTTTGTTGTTGAGCAACATTCTTTGACAGCCCGCTGGAGCAGCATCAGCGTAAGGTATTTCATCACTTTCTGTTCAACTAATCGAGTATTCTGTTTGTCCTTTGACAGGGACCCGCGTGGAAGGCTTTGGTAAAGTTGGAAGGAAGACCAAGTTCAACGCTGTTCAACGCTGTTTCCAGAACATCCATCATGTCATATCATTTCAATGTATTTAGCTGTTCCTTTGGGGCCTCCTTGCTGGCCATCATCTAGCGTTGTTGGGTAGGCCCCCCTGTTCAACAGCATTGCTTTCGTTTTTGAGCGGCGCCGTGCTCTCGACCCCCGAAGGCCTCTCAGTGGCATCGCCCGCACCAACTCTCTCTCCGTTTGACTCTGAGCCATGGTGGTGGTGGTGGTGGTGGTGGGCATGAAACACATGGCTCAGGGTGAGAGATACAGATTGGCCCTGCGATTCGCATCGAGTCACCATGCAATTCTGAAAGACACTCCTTTTTGGTTTGTTCGCAGGTTTTGTAGGACTCATTCACATAAATGTTCTTTCAAACGATTACAAACGTGGACTTTGAGAAGTAGACCTGCTCCAAAAAGTGCAATTGTATCAAGATGACGGAATCGTGTTCTACGAATATGTATGTCGATATAGTTGCGTTACTTAAGCTTGCTAAAGGTGTGCAGATCATCCGATTTTGCTGGTTCGCTTGGGCTTCCTGTAGTTTCTGGGTTTTCCTGCGGTTTTCTGTGATTTCCACAAGACTTGGGCTGCGGGGTAGTGTTGGATGATGATCAGTTACTTGTAGTCATCGGGGCACCAGACTGTCAGCCCATTATCAGCAAAGTATGTGATTTTCCTTCTGATGCTGTGAAGATCTACCAAGTTCACTGTAAGAATCGGAGACGCAAAAAGCCCTCAGGTCTTCTTCCTCACTGCTTTCCCTGGCTACCCCACTATCCCGTTTTTGGGAGTCAAACGACTGACCCAAGCGGCGAGACGACTGCAAGGCGTAACTTCGTGTGGAACGGCACTCCGGTCTCGCCGGGGGCTGCTTTTGTGCCGGGCATGGCTGTCCCACAGGCAGAGCGGTCGAGCTGAAATCGTCCGGCAGAACCTGAGTCCTTTTTGAAGCTTCCCATGACCTGGTTGGTCTCAGAATGGCATGACCTTTTTTTGGAGTTTCAGTTGTTTGGTTTCGTAGAAGCATTTTTCAAGTGCAACTTGCTTGCCGACCTTTGGCTCACGCTAAGTCCCAGCGAGTTGTAGAACAGAACGAGTTGCCGTCCCAAATAATTATGCCTCTCCTGTGGCGGTATAGCATCTCTTCACTGGGATTTTGCCAGGTTTTGGGCAGACACCTAGCAGGCTTGCCTCTAAGACCCCAAAAAAGGCTCCGAGACTTCATCAACATCTTCAAGCAGCTAATAGGGGTGATGCTTGATCAATTTATCACTTCAAACCTGGTGCCATGAGGTCACCCTCAGTGTGCATTGTGATGCGTTTTCTGCTTCGGCTCGTGATCTTCACTAGGCAACTTCTGTGATGATTTCTCCACGTTGGTCCTGAAGAGCTGCAGATTGACATTGTACTTCATGGCTTGGATCTCTTCCTTAACACCTTTTCCATGCTAACAATGGACATCAAGTCGATCAAAGTCAGCGTTTTGCATGGATGGCCGCTGCTCAGCATGTTCGCTGACCAAACGCAGTTTAGCCTGTTCAAACGAATACCCACAGTGGCCAGTAGAGTCGTGTAACTCTATATTTGGGTCAACAATCCCATCACCAGGTTTCAGATTCATTTCTAAACTAGTGATGTTCTTGTTTACCGACGGCTCTACAGGCAATAGGACAGACCATGACAGACCCACTCTCTCATAGTACCATGTGGATCCAAAGCATGTCGCCCAATAACTAGGTATTGATGTTCATGTATCTTCTTAACTAGGTCCGGTGACTTCAAACCCCCCATTGACGTTTCTGTGAATGCCTTAGCAGCCTGGCCGATTCCTCCCCTCCCTCTGTTCTAGAAACCGCCCGCCTGGAACAGGCTGCTCGCAGCGTCTCGCCGGTGGTCCGAGACCCGGTCCAGATCCAGCCGGAACGCGCCGGTGGGCACAGTAGGTTGACAGCTTGACCTCACGAAAAGAAGGGATCTGATTCATTTGACCTGGAATCAGTCAGAGTGCCCGGTTCTTTTTTGACCCACGGCCACAGTTCACCCTCCAACAAGAACCTGGGTTCACAATTGGTCCGGTTGAGTTGGGTGGTGAACAAGACACCATGTCTATGGTTTTGGGATCATCCGATATGCGTTTGTGTGTGTGTGTTATTTTTTTAAACAGAAGGAGACCCTTCCAGAACCAGGTTGGTGCTTTGGGTACCCTTATCCCTAAAATCCGACTCCCATCGATCGATACGGCTCCAGAACCGGCGTCTTGCGGAGCCTAATGTTGGGGTGATCATTCCAACTGGTCGAGGCTTCCAGAGGATCGCGTGTGCAAATTCCAATACTACCGGTCATCAACCAGCTGGTGAGGGATTTGCTCCAGGTAGATTGCTACAAGGTTCGGTGTTTTAGAGATGATATTGACCAATTTGTCCCTTTGGTGCATGCTCTATTGTATGGAGTGTATCCAAAGTTTGGCTACTCATGTGATTCTTTGCTAAGTCATGCTAAGTCGCTTCTACAGCTTGCTGGACTGTGTCCGGATTGTTGCCAACCATCCACATGAGCAAATCCAATTCACCAACAGATCATGGGTCGTATGTGTCACACTGGCCTCCACATGTGGGACCTGAACTTTCATTTATCTAAGTCTGTGAGAGTAGTGCTTCATAGCTTCTCAGCTACTGGTCCCAAGTCGTAACACCAAAGAACATAAAGAAACACTTTGCACATATCCGCAGCCGTACCATAGCAAGCATCGCTGGCATCGCTGGGGGATTTCAGGCACTGATGGAGCTTTTTTGAGGAATCCATTCGGAACTTGCGTCTTACCTAGGCTCGGCCAATGGCTCCCTACACAACTGTGCAGGCGAGGCTCAGCTACGGCTTTGAGGACGCGTCGCATTCGGTGTCGCGTTCGCTGTCGTTCGAACCGGATTTCGATCATCCTTTTAAGGGTCAGTTGCCCATCGCTGAACCTCCACAGGAATAGAACCTCAGAAATGCATCCGAATTAGGGCCATCTCAACCTTCACGGTCGTCATGTTTTTCGACTTCGAGTCGTTTCCGTCAGACTTCGAGTCGTTTCCGGTCCGAACACCCCTTTTCCGGCACCGCGGGACGAACCGCGTTTTCCGAACACGGTCCCGTTCGACGACCGTGGACCCGAGCACTACCGAGGTCCCACAGATGCGACCGGTGTCTCCCAGTGTGATGAGATGAGATCGGTCGACCGAGCGTGACGTCGTTGCAAGAGAAGCAAAGACATGTGCTTTTGGAATCTTTTGGGGATCTTGAAAAAGGCATATAGGACCAAACATGTATTTTGTTTTTTTCCATTGATATTTTCACATTCATTATCTTGAATGGGTGCCTGCAAATTATTGGATGATATTGGATTATGATTTTCTGAATTATTGCTTCTCTTGAAGAATTATCTTGGATTTAAATAATGATAATGATAATTAATGAATCATGAATAATGATGAAAAACATAAATCCAAATATAATTAATTAAAAATATATATATATATTTCAAAGATATGAATACAACAATAACAATTGTTATTAGATATATTGATTTCTTTTTGAATGTTCGATTCGCGATTTGAAAAATATCTTTTGAAATTCTAATGTTATAATTAAATTTGGATATTTATATTGATATTTATATATTGAATAGGATATTATATTGAACAATAAATATATATATATAATGGTATTTATTGGAATATTTATATATGTATATTTATATTTATTTATTTTATGTATATTTATGGTAATTGAATATATATATATTAATTTATTGTAGTTTGGAATTGGATTGTTGAGATTTATTGCAATATTTTTTTTTATTATTTTAATTGATTAATTTTTGTTCGTTATTGTTATGTCGTTGGGGCACTAGATGTAGTCGATCGTAATGGTTGTCGCCTACTACGGACGGAGAGTTCTTAATTGGAAATGAATAATAACATAATATATTTATTGATATTAGGCTTAGGACTCCCGGGGCCTAGTCTAGGCATAGGCCTATCCTAGGCCCATGCCTATCCCAGGTATAGGCCTATCTTAGGGCCATGTCTACCCTAGGCATAGGTCTATCCTAGGGCCATGCCTAGGCCTATCCTAGGCTTATGCCTAGACTAGCCATAGGCCTAGGCTAGCGATGGGCCTATCCTAGGCCTATGCCTAGGCTAGCCATGGGCCTATCCTAGGCCTATGCCTAGGCTAGCCATGGGCCTATCTTAGGCCTATGCCTAGGCTAGCCATAGGCTAGCCATAGGCCTATCCTAGGCCTATGCCTAGGCTAGCCATAGGCCTATCCTAGGCCTATGCCTAGGCTAGCCATAGGCCTATCCTAGGCCTATCCCTAGCGCTAGCCCTAGGCCTAT